ACTAAAGTTTTTAGATAGTTGCTCCCCTTCAAACTCATCATTTTAAGCTTCATTGTTATTCATATACTACAAAATAAAATTTTGAATCATAAAATGCCCTTGAAAATAGCAACTTCTTATGATGACAGTAATGTTTTAGTTTTTAGTCTTAAAACATTATCGTTCTTAATTTACATTTCTTATGTGTACTCATTTAATAACTAACTTTAAATGCAGTAATCACATTTTCCCCTAAGCTTTGATTAGAACAATTATGGTAAATGAAAATAAGAAAGTAATTTCTTCAAAGAGATTCAAAAGCATCCTTTTCAGGCCCATAAAAAGTCTTCAAAATAGTGTTTGAAGAGTCAGGACTAAAAAAAGACAGTTTTTGTTCTTCTTAAAATACACAGATCTAAAACTTTTCCATTGTCTGCTTTTCATCGTTGTGTTGGTTTCTCCTGGCACTATAGCAGAAGACAACACACAAAAAGTGAAGACTTTCCCCCAATAAATAATATTGAGTAGGTGTCTGACCCTCTTCACTTAGACCAAGAAGACAGGAACGTCAGCAGAAAGTCACCTCAGAAGTAGAAAAATTAGAACAGATAAAAAAAGTAGAAAGATAGAGCTTTAGCAGAGCTTTAGCAGTTACCTATTCCAATTGTTCCTTATCCCTAAACTCTCTTGATCAATAATTAGTCTTGCATTAGAGATTACAATTTCCCTTACTGCACACAAACAATAATTGAAATTTAGGCTGGGAGTATAGCTCAGTGACACAGTGCTTGCCAGCAAGCGTGAGGTCATGAGTTTGATTCCCAGTACAAAAAAAAAAAAAAAAGAAAGAAATCTGTAAATTGCTTGTAATGTATGGCTGAATACTTTCTACCAACTCACTACTATACACTTAACACGGACAATACTTTCCCCCAATTGCATAATTCCTTCACACTGGCATCCAGATATTGTGTTTTTAAAAATTCTCTAATAAGATGGGTGCTTGTTAGCTTTTCTATTATTGGAAAGCAGGACCCAGCACCTCCAGTTTAAAGAAGGAGTGGTTTACTTGGGCTTACGGTTTTAGAGGGCTCAGTTCATGGCTGGTTCTAAGAGAGAAATATGGCAGAGGGGCTTGGCAGAGGAAAGCTCCTTGCTTCCTGAAGGCTGGAAGCAGAGCGGAGGAGCAGAGATGAAGAAGGAGAAGCCAGGATTCACATCTATTACCCAAGGCCATGCCTCCACGCCTCACCCGGATGCGCCCTCTATCAATCCCCTAGGCTTTGCTTAAACCACCAAGTTGACACAATTAAGGTTAAGTGTCATAACATGTAAGAAAGGAAAAAGAAAGGCTGCAAGTACTGTGACTGGAAGAGTTTTGACAGCACATTTTACTCATGGTGGTAAAACAAACCAAGCACAATGTGGTGAGAAGTTCTAGCCACATTTCATGAAGGTCAGTGAACTATGGAGGGGGCATACAGCTCTGTTAGGCTGTATGCCCCCTCCATAGGAGAGGGAATATAATGTTTTGCATGCGTAGCTCCCCTGAGCAACCCAGATTTTCCTCTCTAGAAGTAGAAACATTACAGGTCTCTCACTAGTTCTTACATTTTTATTGCTCATCCCCATATCCTGAAAATAACACACACACACACACACACACACACACACACACACTTCTTCATGTGTGCACACTTACATGCACATCCACACAAACAAGACAGAAGAACACAAATCACTATGTCATAAAAGACATAGGAGATGGTTAACAACCTAAGTTTGCAGACCAAAATTAGAGAAAAAGGAGGGCTACAAGGAAAGCCAACATTTTGGCCCTACCCTTCTAAGGTCAATTAAGACTCAGGACATATGAGAACTTGTACTGTAACATCATGTACCTTGGTAGTGTCCCAAATTTTCTGATCAAGAAGATAATGGGGCCAAAGAGGAAAGTGATCGATGACGTAGAGTGTGCCTAAGGAGAGTCACATGGGGAGAAGACACTCTCTCAGGCTTTCACAGAGAGCACATAGGCCAAGCATTGGCCGTGACTCATCCACATGGCTGACACTGACAAAGGTTCTACAATCTGAGGTACAGGATCTCAAGATAAATCCTGAGGGCATTTCACTGACCTTGTCAGACCAAAAAGCTACAACTCTTGTTGCACAGGTCCTGCTTTACCTTGGTCTTAACCATCCAGTAGAAAAGTATGAAGATGAAATATAGGAAGTAAAGCCATGTTGTTATGTTGAGCTGTGGGGGACTCAGGTCAATAATTTCTGACATTGCCAGTTAAACAGAAAACCCAATGATATTATGGGCTTCTGTACTCTTTTAGAATATTTTGCTGAGTTTACACACCTATAATATTCAACAACGGAACTTAAAAAAAATTGGGGTATAACTATGAATGTCCATTTTGTATCTGTGTATTCAAAGTGGTTGGGATAGATATATAGTTGCATTCTCTTAATGAATAGAATGATTTTTTCTAATGGTGTTTGTAAGTAGGATCACAAGTCTGCATTTTGTACAGCAATTAACCACTGAAAAGAATGTATGCAGTGTATTATTTGTTGAAACTGTACTTTCGATTTGATTTGAAACTGTCTCATTGCTATATGTTTATCAATAAAACTTTGAAAAGAAAAAAAAAAGACATAGGAGTTTGTTTTTCTCTGTCAGGTAGAAAAGGATGTAAACAAATCAAAGTTGGCCCCAGTGAGTGAAGTTCCGACCCTCTGACAGGAAGTTCCCAGCAGCAAGCAATCTTCTGAGGCAGTCAGTCAGCTGGAAGAGTAAAGGTAGCAAAAGGGAAGGGAAGGTGCCCGCCTCTCCTTCTCGGCAGCCCCTCAAGTTTCCGCACCGTGCTCCACTGACACCTGCTTGGCCTGACCTGACAACACGACCACCTTCAACCACTGGGAAGGCTCAGAAGCACCATTTCTATTTTACATAGTGTCTTCCCTCCGGGCCCACTACAGTCTTATTACTAGAAGCAGAAGAAGAGTGAAAATGGCCAACGCTAGCAGCTGCTGGGAGCCTCCTCCTCACCCTTCCCACAGGGAGTCTACGGGATTTCATGTCCAGATGATTCAGTGTGGAGGACCAGCTGAGCAGCTCCCCTTGGAAGAAGAGCAACTGTCTCCATTTTGACTGAGCCTGACCCCATTTCCTCATATTGATATGAACAGAACTGGCTAGAACTTCTGTTTATCCTTTCAGTTGGCCTTAAACAATGCATGTTGGTCTAGCTGAGGTACTGATGACAGTCTTTGAAGGTAGCTTGCATGTTTCCCTCGTAACTTACACCTGCTGCTCTTTAATGTGAGCCAGGTCAAGACAGGATGAAGAGCCAATGCTCCACACTATCGGCTGGGATTGAGCCTCGAGATAGAAGCTATAACTTCCTGGGGCTTGAAAGATTACATCAGAACTGAAGCACCAGACCCTCCCAAACATTAGATACTATCTTAATAGTATTTGCGGATTACTTTCTCTGCATATGGCAGAGGTAAATGTAGGCCACCCACCTAACTCAGCTCATAGTACTCACCCACTTCCTACAATTCTCAGTTATTCCTCCTCAAACCACTCCTCCTCTACTGAATAAAACGCAGGTGCAGCCCTGGGTCAGCCCCTTGGTTCCGGAAAGCCATCTTCGTGGCTGGACTTAGAGCCCCTTGACTCCCCAATAATAATAAATATTTTAGTGTCTCTTCCTTTGCTGTGGGTTTCACTGGGAGTGGTAGATTAGAATTAACTTGGTGGGATTCCAGTAAATTACCTTTGGGACTACAGATAATAACTTCTTGGACCAAGAGGAGCACCTGGAGGGGTCTCCTACAATGCAGGACAGGGTTCTTCCCTCCCCTTCCCATATGCTACCTTTCTCTCTACACTTTAGCTACACCAGAGCTTTACTCTCTTGTGATCAAGCACACTTCTTCTGCTCAAAAGAGAAAAGAGATGAGCAATTAGTGAAGGGCAAACTGACTTTCACGATTTAAGACACTTAGTACTAAGAATCTTAATAGGAAAAACTGGGCCAAATTCTACATTTCTGTTTGTGCATTTGCCACCTAAATTGAGACCACAGTCAATTTTAATTGGATATAAATCTCCTAAGCAGTAGATCTGTGTTTTCATTTGCTAGTAAGTAGGGAGTTTTTTTACTTGTTCCCCAAAGATGCTGAAGTTTAGTAATAGTTGCAATTTTATCACATTCAAACAAAGGCCTGGCACATTTAATTTTCCCTTGAGGAACTTCAACCACTGCAAGCAACAGAATTAGTAATGTAAGCACCAGTTAGGCCCTGGTTAGCTGGGCAGCTGTTCTCCTACTCCACAGAAGGTTAGCGGGTTAGAGGGAAGTCCAACTTCAAAGAAGGAAGCCAAGCGCAGGTGTGTACCCCACCCCACCCATCCCTGGCCCCGTCTCTCCCCATCCCTGTAGTGTGTCTTGCACTTCTATGAAGAGCATTGCTTTAGAAAGACTGCTCATTTCCAAAATCTAATCTCATCATGCCCAACCCTAATTATATTTCCTGGGGATTCAGTTCTCAAGGACATCATAGCTTGGAAGGCCTTAAGCCTTTCAAGGACTAGTAGAGAAACATGCAGAGCAGGGAGTAGATGCCTGCTGACTTGTGATTATGACATAGTTTTGCAAGACTGGGTGTACGTGGGAAGACTATAATGATGCTTATTACCCAGGTCCTCCTGACGCGTCCATTGGTAAGAGTGCTTCGTTCCCTGGCAGTCACAACCTGGCTTATATTTAAAATTTTTCACAAGCCCAAGGACCAGAGTTCAATCCCCGGCGTGCCGTGCTGGCCCCGCCCCCAGCATACCCTGAGATGGCAATTGAGACAGGGCGTGATGGTGCGTGCCTGCAATCCCAGAGTTTGGGAGGCTGAAAACAGGAGGATCACTACTAGACTGACCTGTGTAGAGAGACCCTGGAGATGCTGTACTAAAAATGCATTTAAAAAATTCCCCCCCCCTTGGTAGTCATTGCTCTTTCTAAAGCTTAATTAGTTTTTCAAGTGCAAATATATTTATTGCCCCCAAACAGCATTCCTACGCATATCAGCAAACGCCGAGGAAATGATGAACGGCTGACAGGAGCGCTTGCGTCTGCGCACTACAGCTTCTCCACAGTTTTTATTTTTTATAGCCATTCCGGAACGCTCTCAGCAGCCCTACTTCATCTGACAAAGATCCCATGAGGACAATAAGACAGAGAGGGTAAGCATGGGCAGGCCTGTGGTTAATTACAAACGTTCGATCTTCTCATGCTGATCTATTAGCTGCATACGCCAATATAAGGCCTCAAAGGGAGGAACGAAGGGTTCTCTTCTAAATAAAATACTCCAAGAATTTGTTTCTCTCTGCATCTGTTTCTTCATTTTCCAGCTCGTATTTCTTCATGGCAACAAAGTAGCGAATGAAAGTCTCTCCCAGAGCCTGTCTCAGACACTGGTCCTCCTCCAGGGCCACAAGCGCATCTTCCAGTTTCAAAGGGATCTCGGCCGGTGGGAGCTGGCAAAGCTCCGCGCTGTCACCGGCCCCAACCAGGGCGTCGTCGTCCCAGCTCTGCAGCCCATCCAGGCCTGCCGCCACGGTGGCAGCCAGCACCAGGTACGGGTTGGCGGTGGCCGAGCCCAGCTTGTTCTCTATGCACGTACCTCTCCCACCGTGGCTTTTGATGTTGAAAGCGCAGCTGTTGTCATTGTAGCCCCAGGTCGTGGGCACAGTGGACTTGAGGTCTTTGCTGTCCTTCGAGTATCGCTTGCGGCAGCTGGCCGCAGGCGCCATCAAGCAGCTGAGGGCCGCGGAGTGTTTCAGAAGTCCCGCCAGCCACTTTCTCCCAGGCACCGACAGCTGCTCGACGCCAGGACCGCTGCAGAACACGTTTCTCTTCCCACCGACATCCCAGATGCTGTGAGACAGAATTCCCGAATTGCAGAAACCGGTCTCCACGAAAAAGCTGGCGATGTAATTGTATTTCCTGGCTACTTCTTTGACGCCTGTTCGGAGGGTAAAGGCATTATCGGCCGAAGTGATGCCAAATTCGGGGAGAAAACAGATTTCCATCTGACCGGGCCTGGTAGAAGAGGAAAAGGTCTCCACGGTGGCCCCGGTGTGGTACAAGCCATCCACGAGCTCCTGCATGAAGGGCTGGTCGTGGTTATACAGGAACGTCGAAGCGGGAAAGGATACCGCCTTGGAATTGATGACCTCAGGCACGCCGAAGATGCAGAAGTCATAGAGGAAGGCAGAGAGCAGGGAGAAGCCCGCGTCCTGCAGCTGGCCCAGCTGCCTCTTGGCCATGTACCTCGGGGAGGTCAGCAGGGGCTCCCCGGTCACCGTGAAGGTGTCGCAGATCACGCGGGCCGTTCTCTCCACCCAGGGCAGCACTCTGAAGGTGGAGAGCTCCGGCATGAGGACGACGTCGCTGTTGAAGCACGTGGCTCTTATGTGGTTCACTTCGCTGTCTTTAGGATTGGGGATCAACTCGAGATAGCCGCGCGGCATGAAGACACCCTGGGTCACTTTTTCCTAGAGCAGGAAAAGGAGAAATTAACCAATGCAAGTAGAAGTGCTGAGAAAGAGCTTTGTTAAGGAGATGAGATGTTTCAGAATAAATTCTCCAAAGGCACCTTTATCAGCTATGAGAATTTTAGGCCTTGAAGGTTTTATATGCTTCTAGATACAACAAACAGCTATTAAACATTTATAAATGCGTGTTTAATGATAAAAGAAATGCTTATTGCAAAAAAAAAAAAAAAAAGATGAAGCCTTATGAAAGTTCTTGAAATCACCATAATCGAAAGTACTTTGTAACGTACTTTTTTATTTTATGGTTTAGTTGCTAAAATCTCAGATAAGGCTATCTTTTGATTTATTTTAATTGTACATATATATGGGATACAGGAATAATTACTCATGTTTATAACATGTAGTGATCAAATTAGGATACGCAATATTTCCTCGGCTTACCATTACTATATGTTGGAACTTTCAAGCATAATTCTCCCAGATATTCATAAAATATACAAATTTATGAACCACGACAATGAAGTTACCACTCCTGCCTAACTGTGTTCTGGCGTCCATCCTCCAAATACCCTCTATCCCCCACCCTTCCATTTGTCCCGTCTTCTATTAATCTCTGTTCTGCATTTAGACCAAGTGTCTTGGGTATCCAAATATGGGAAAGAGGATGCCGCCAAGATAGCTCAGCAGCCTACAGCGCCTGCTTAGGCGGTTGCAAAGGACTGAAGTTTGATCCTTGGCACCACACGCTGTACCAGCCCTGCCCTCAGAGCGAGATGAGCCAGGAAAAAAAATCAGTATCCAAATACAAGAAAGAATACGTGGGATTTGTCTTCCTGTGTCTGATTTATGCTATATAACTTGGTGTCCTCCAGTTCCACTCATGTTGCTGTAGGATTTCTTTCTTTTTGTGCTCAATAATATTTACCATGACAACCTGCCCTGTTTGTCTTGGGTGTCCACCCACTGATGAGAGAGAATCTAGGTTGGTTTCATAGCATAATTCTGTGAATGGTATAGTAAATAGATCCACACCCTGAAACTGGCCTTCTCACCCCTGGGTACACGTCCAAAAGAAATACTATAGTATATCAAGAGATACAAGACACTTGTGCTTATGCCATCCTCTGTTGAATCCCAGCAAGAGCTAGCTCTCAAAATTCGGCAGTGAAGGTTTCAGTCTTTATCAGAAAGTTGACTGTGGTCACACTGACAGCAAGGTATCACTCCTTTTTTTACTCTGTCACAATCCACTTAAGGATTAAATACCTCACTGTCTCCCAGAGCCCCAGAGAGCCTGTCCATGACTGTGGACCTTTCTCTCGAAGGTTACAGCTTCCAAAATACTCTGGCCTCCAAGTCACCATGAACTGTTTGCCCACGGATCTAACCTCGAATCATAGCCCTTTTAGTAATTACTGGGGTGAAGTTTAGCCACTCACTGCATATGAACCTTGGTTTCTGTATCCATAAAATAAAAGCATTCAAGGAGAGCTTTGCTAAGGCACTTTCTAGGGTTCAATGGATGTAGTCATTTATTTAACTTTTGCTGTATATCACACAGCAGGGAGGTGATGAGGTTATAAAATTGAAGAGAAACAAAAACAATTTCTGGAAACTGTAGAATAGAATATCAACAAAGCTTCCTGTGCTCAAGGTGATGTTGCAGGGTGAAGAAGAGGCCTTGACCATAAGATGAGGTTTTCATGACATTCACAAGCTTTGCGAAGTTAATCAAACATCCTAATCTTCCCCAGCCAGGCTGTTTTCTTATGTTATTCCTCAGTCTCCAACAGCCGGGCTACCAGGAGGGTTGACATGGACGGAGAAAAGGAGCAGGTCCCTGGGTGTAGCCGGGACCACTGCCTCCTTCTCTTTCTACAGTCACTGCCCGTTTTTTCAAATCCAGTTAGACCTGGCTCTGCCAAATCTGCTTTTATCAGCAATAAAGCTGAATGAAACAAGCACTTTTTGGTGCCTACTCAATTTTTCAAATTACTCAAGAACTTATCCACATCAATTTAGAAACACACACACATGCACACATGCACACACACACATGCACACACACACACACACACGAGCATATACACACACAGTGGGATCTCAGGTCAGGTAAGCGCTCCAGCAGGGAATTGTTTGACTCCAATACTCACTGCAAGGAATCACATCCTTCCCTCCATATATCTTCTCAGCCTGAACATCTGGGTATTAGCTCTTCATAGGTGTAAAACGAGGGATCACATGCTTCATCCCTGAACTTCGTCAGAGTTCCTGCAGCTCAAACCTACTCGGCGATCCCATCGCTGGGCAGAGAGAAGCTGTTTCCATTTCAATTCAGAAGTCCTCCACACTCTTGAGGGCCACAAGCGAAGCCACACTTCACTCTCCAGCCTGTTTGATCCGTACTTTCCTAGGCACCCTTTTCTAATGCTGTCATTGTCTTTATTATTATTTGAACATGGCGAATACAAACTACTCCTATGAGTCATGCCTAATGCGGAGGTACACAGGGACATCTCTTGTTCCTGACAATCATTATCTTCTTGTCACTAGATGGAATACACTGAAGCAACTGCACACCTCAATATGGATCCCTGCAAACCTAATACAAATTCTTGCAGAATAATTCAAAACCTTATGACAACTGAAATTTGGACCACAACAAAGGTTGCCTTTTGAAATAACCCGAGAATTAGGTCTGAAGTCTATAATAGTGTGTCGTATTTCTATTACATCAATGAGAAAAAGAACCCACATCATCTCTATTTAATTTAAGTAAAAACCACCCTTTGGCTAGACAAAGATAGTATAGATGGATGTGGTGGCCCACACCTATCCACCTAGCACTTAGGAAGGTGAGGCAGAAGGATCACTCAGTGGATTTTGGGCCAGCCTGAGCTACATGAGTTCAAGGGCAGCCTGAAATATATGAAGAGTCTCTCTCTCTCTCTCTCTCTCTCTCTCTCTCTCTCTCTCTCTCTCTCTCTTTCTCTCTCTCTCTCTCATATTTTAGGGAAGGGTCTACAGGGTATTCAAGGTGCCACTACTAGGTCAGACTCAGAGTGATACTCCTGTTTATAGCCTCTCAAGAGCTGGGATTACTGGCTCACACCACCACACCCAGTCTCCATTGCTATCCCAGCATGCCTCGGGACAGAGCCAGCACTGCATGCCCGGGGATCAAACCCCCAGCCCCTGCGCCTACTTGCAGGTGCTTTAATCCACTGAGCTATTTGGCCAGCCAAGAGAGACCCTGTCTCAAATAAAAACAGAACAACACACTGACTATGATTTGGTTGAAAGTTTTCATTGTGCTTCTCATAGTAACTAAAGCTTGGAAGCAACCTATATGCCCATCAACAGATGTGGGTAAAGACAATGTGGTCCTGAATCTGAGTTGTTTGTAGGAAAGTGGGTGCACATGGAGACAAGGTGAAGGGAAATAAATAAAACACATAGGATTAAATATCACGTGGTCTCCTTTTCATGGGAAAGACACAGGATAATAATTTAAAGACCAAAATAAAATAGGAAGCAAGAGAATGGATCCTTTGCACATGGGAAGTAGGCCCAGAGATGGGGCGGGGGAGAAAGGGAAAAGAGAAAGTCAAAAGCATCAAGATGATGGGCTAGGGAGATAGCTCAGTAGAATAAGTAAGTGCTTGCCTGGCAAGCACAAGGTCCTGAGTTCAATCCCCGGTACAGCCAAAAAACAGAAAAAGATGAGTTGTGTTTATGTACGACCTTGCTTCAAAGAATGCAATCATTTTGTTCAGCAATGTATACTAATAAAAAATAATTACTACTATTTTACAGACTTAAATCTGTATTTAAGTCTAATATCTGCAAGGTATTGAATGCATGAGTTACTCGTTGTGCTTTTTCCAATTATTGAAGTCTTCTTTTTTTCTACCAAATGATATATTTTTTTCAAAAATGTCTGTGATTTTGCAGCTGTCATCCCAGCATTGTGGGTGGCTGAGGCAGGAGGATACCAAGTTTGAGCCCAGGCTGGGCAACTCAGTGACTTAGCAAGACCCTGTCTCAACCTGACATAGAAAAGGGTAGAGGTTGTGCCTCAGTGTGAAGGCCCTGGTTCAATCTACAGTGCCCTGCCCATTTATTTGCTTAATTTAGTAAAAAATAGCACAGCTCAAAGAAACAGGAGAGGGCCAGGGAGATAGCACAGCATTATAACTGCCTACCTGGCAAGTGAAAGGTCCTGAGTTCGATCCTCAGTACTGGAAGAAAGGAAGGGAGGAAGGAAGGAAGGAAGGAAGGAAGGAAGGAAGGAAGGAAGGAAGGAAGGAGAGAGGTGAACTGGAGGAGGTGGGTGAAACAGAACAAGAGAAGAGCATGGAGCTGGGAGCCAGGAGTCACGGGCCTGCATCCCCACCTCCCTCACTGCTGTCTGTAGAGCTTCAGGGCAGCTCAGGGCTTTTCTGCTGCATCTGAGACCCCCTTCTGCCTCTATGTATGGAGACTGAGTGGTGCTACCTCTTCCGTGGCTCACAGTCCAATTTTGTTTATTTGTTTTGTCTTGTTGAGACAGCTCAGGCTGGCCTTGAGCTCACTTTTTAGCCTAGGATGGTCTCGAACTCACAATGATCCTCCTGCCTCAGCCTCGCAACTGCAGGGATTACAGGTGTGTGCCACCATGCCCAGCCTCTTGGCCTAATCTAATAATGCCCAAATTGACATTTATTTTCTACCAAGAAAAAGTTTTAAAGTTACTGTTAGAAAGATCTAACCTACTGTTCGCTAAGCCCTGTGCAGACTCTAACTGTGGACTCTTTACTTTTCTTGTGAGTTTTTTATATCGAATTGTCTATGCAGACAAGCCCACATGTTGAGCTTGTGCAGATGAGCCTACTTCTAATATCTACCCACAATAAGTCTTCCCTAAAAAGTGGTTTAATCTTAAATCACAAATATTCAGGATGCACAGAGTCATTATGATTTAGACCTTCAAACATTCCCAAATGAATTGAAACTGTTTTGTTAAGATAGATAAGCAGACTAAAGTGCCAGTTTAGGCAGAGCGTAGCGGCCAGGGTTCCATCCCTGGTGTGCTGTGCCAGCCCCACCCCCGGGCCACACTGAGACATGGGATTAAGACTGGGCGTGGTGATACGCACCTGTAATCCCGGAGTTTAGGAGGCTGAAAACAGGAGACTCACTACAAGTCCTATCTACATAGTGAGCCCCTATAGACTCTGTAGACCCTGTACTAAATACACGCACACACAGAAAAAGATAAATAGGTAGATATATACTCTAAGCATTAAATGAGAGAAAAAATAACTAGGTCATGAAATAGGAAAGTGAGTTATTTAAAAATAGAGATAAGAAAGAGTGTAACAAATTTCCATGGCAAACTTTTTCCTTAAAAAAAAAAAAAAAAAAAAACTAAACTTGCTGAACTCTAGAAAGAAAGGGGAGGGCAGTTGTGATATGTCAGCTATTAAACTGTTTAATGAGAATTACTTTGAATAGCAATTTGAAGATGCAGAAATTTTCTTTTTATGTGAATTTTATGAATCTTCAAAAACAGAGCCTGGGGAAGAGCTCAATGTGGCACAGTATCTGCCTGGCAAGTGCAAAATCCTGAGATCAACCCCAGGTGAAATAAAGAAAGAAGGAAAGAGAAAGAGAGAGAGAGGCACACAGAGAGAGAGAGAGACAGACAGACAGACAGACAGACAGACAGACAGACAGACAGACACAACAACAAAAGAGCCCCATGTAGTGGCACAGGCCTATAATTCCAACTCTTGGAAGGTGGAGGCCAGGGGAGGCATGAGTTCAAGACCAGTTTCAACTATGGAAAAAGACTGTGTCAAGAAACCAATCACCTCAATCTTCAACATGTGTACATGGTATAGTAAGTTATGTTTTGCAAAGATGTTACACATGGGAGTGAAAATAATGTCATGAGTGAAATAAATAATTAGGATGTGAATAACAGTTTTACACGAGGATTAGGGCAAGTGCATGAATTTCAGGGGCTGTGTGTTTCCTTACTGGTCAGGAGAGGATCATGTGAATTGTCTTCTGGACCCATCCGCAATGAAGTTCACCTTTGCAATCAGAGTCAATGGCCATGTATTCTTAAGTGAATGAAGAAGCAAAAGTATCTATAGTCAAATCTAAAAAATTCCTTCAGGGCTGGCCAAATAGCTCAGTGGATTAAAGGGCCTGCAAGCAGGTGTGGGGGCCGGGGGTTTGAGACCCAGGCCAGTCACACTGGTCCCGCACCAGGGTTTCAGTGAGACAGCAATTGAGACTGGGCATGGTGGTGTGCACCTGTAATCCCAGCTCTTGAGAGGCTGTAAACAGGCGGATCACTATGAGTCCGATGTAGTCGTGAGACCCTGAACACCCTGTAGACCATTCCCTAAAATACAAAAAAAAAAAAAGAAGTCCTTCAAAACAAAACTAAATGTATTAGTGCTCCCCAGAAAGTTTGTTTGAAGATGTATTGCTCCCCCCAATAAAAGCAAATAAGAAAAATTACAATTTGATTAAAGTAATAAAAGCATGACATTCTAAAAGTAGTTAAACTTAACAAATGTTTGTTGTCTACTTTCTTAAATAGTGCTGACTGATGTCCCTTCCTAAAAATTTGATGTTTAAATATCACAACAAATCACTTATTAAAATAATAAGTAATCTGATCCCCTAAAATTTTAGCAAGTCTTAAAGCATATCACAAAATGCAATATTTCTTGATATCATTATTTTCAAGAACTTAATATTCATTGAGCCATCCAACAGCAATAGGGCATTTTCTTATCAGAATTAGAGCTGACAGGGATTTTTTTTTTTTAATCTAGCAAATTCTTTCTATTTAATCATTTTTCCCTTTCATATTTGCTCTTGGGTCTTGTGTTGCAATTTTCTCACGTCAAATAAAATGTAATCTTCATAATTGCAATAAGAAGAGAAGATAATTCTGTGGATGGAAATTATTCAAGGCAGAAGGGCTAAAATTACCAGTCTTAATTGGCTTTCTATTTCTATTGGGTACAGAAATTGTTGTTTGAGAGCTGAGAGTATATGTTAAGTTCCTTGGGGAGCAATAATGTGTTTGGAGAGGGACAAAGGGAAACACAAGATAAATTATTGTTTTTCAGCTTGAATTGCTGTGTAGATTACAAGAAAATAAGGACGAACAATGAGGACCATTTGCTCACTAATGGTCATGAAACTTCATTTAGTTATAACTGTATGTAAAACTCACTTGGAAGAAGTATGCAAGGATGGTCTTGGATCTAGACACTCCGTGCAGATCCGTGGCTTCAAAACGCACAAACTGGAGGTGATTTTTGGCCATCTCCTGCTTAATGTGCTTCATTTTAGAAGAAAGTTGAGGTGGAGTCAAAATCTGAGTGCTGTTCCTACCACGATCTACAAAATAAAAGGTGTTCTGAATCAGTTACAATTACAGAGAAGCAAGAGGAGAGTCGAGCCTAGAGAGCTAGTGGTTCTGGCAGAACTCACCCCTGGCCGTCATGGATTCACACTTCCACCCGGATATCTTACCCTTCCCACCCTGCCTTTACCATCTGCCCAGGAACACTGTACCAAAACAGCCCAGGACATGGTTCATCAGTGAGACTAGGTTAAATTAACATAGTTTGCATGAGGATAAGACAACACAACTGAGTGTTCCTTTGCTTATGCAAATTAGAATCTATTTGCATTACAGTTGGCATTCTTTTTATGAAAGCAATTGTAGATGAAAAGCTTGAATTGTGTGCTCTTTCAAAATTAGGAATGTGGTGTGGGGAGATAGCTCAGTGGAATAAGCGCTTGTCTAGCAAACACAAGGGCTTGAGTTCAATCCTCAGTTCCACCAAAAAGCCACAAAAATTAGAAATGTAATAAAATGTCCTTTTTGAGACTTTCAAAGTAGTCTGCAAAGCCTAAAACTGGAGATGAATCACCTAATCTAACTTCATTAGCTTGAGTTCCAGAGAGGCACAAAGAGGCACCTCCAGTCACTAGAGTTCACTGTCAAGATGAAAAGTAGAGGGTCAAAGAGATAGCTTAGTG